GATGCTCCTGCAGCAGGGATACGAGGCTCCCTGTCCTGGCGGGACGCCGTGTCCCACGCATCCCTGCTGCCCTGCTGAGCACGTCGGGCTCACGGCAGGGGAAGGGCCTGATCCCTCATTTTGAGGCACTTACCTCCTTTCATCCATTACACGGGGAGCCTTGATCTATCCCAGACAGACCCCGAGGCCACACAGCTATTTTAATGCCTCTTTTTTTCCTGAGTACCTAAATCCTCTGTAACATCTGTGCTTGCTGCCTCTGCACAGCGAATCACTTCCCTGCCTGCAGGAAAGTGACAGCAGAGCAGCAAAACAGTTAAGCCATAGAGTAACACAAAGTGGGCTCCTAATGCAGCGGAAGTAAACTATATATATAACTGCATAAACTATATATAAACCTGGTCCGAGGCAAGAGGTAGCATCTGATGTCTAACGCTGACGAGTAAGCAGCCGGGGGACACTTGCTGCGAGTCCCCTGCAGACACACCTGCAGGAAGGCAGTATTGGTGAGGACAGACTGGCAGGTAACACTGCATCTCTCCATGCTCGGGTTTCACCAACTGCTGTGTTGCTGCAAGGCCATTTTTTCCTCCTCTTGGCCAGCATTTATTTACTGCAAATAGCACAAACTGAGACAGACATACGCACACAGTTACACCGATACTTCTAAGGTAATAAGGGTGCTCCTGCCTGCCAGGCTCTGCCCAAGCAGGTGCCAGGGGGTTAGGGGCTAGCACCGCTCGTCTGGCCCCAAGGGTTTACCCTCCCACCGCTGCCAGGGTGAATTTCTGGTTGCCGCTTACAGAAATTAATAAGAAACTGCAGACAGGCTTGGAAAAGCAACACAAAGTATTGGTGTACCCACATGGCCTGTGAGATAAATGGGTGCATTTACTCAGTGTGCTCCAAAGCCACGAAACACTTGTGCATGACAGTCCCAGATTTGAGGAGGAGGGCAAGGAGCAGCTTTACCAAAATAATAAAAAACAAAAGCCAAAACTAATCCTATCAGCTCCAGCTTTCCCCTATGATTTTGAGCGCTCCACTGTAAACCTTCTGCTCCCCCCAGGGAGCAAAAACCTTCTGCTCCCCTCTCCCCAGGGGCTGGATCCTTTTCCAAGTCAGGAGCCCAGCAGAGGTTCCGTGGCAGCAGCACCAGCTGAGCGCAAGGGAAACCTCCGGATTTCCCCAAGAGAAACCAAACCTGCCAAATTCTTCCGAAGTCCAGGTGCAGCCACACTGGAAGTCAGCAGAGAAGGTCATTTACAAACCACCTAGGTGTGACTTCTGCCCAAACAAGGTCGTTGAGGGTCACATTATGCAAGCTATATACCTTTACCTATGGAGAAATATGCGAGGATGCACGAGTAACAGCACAGCCTCAGGGGCTAACACCGCTCGTCTGGCCCCAAGGGTTTACCCTCCCAGCACTGCCAGGGCGAATTTCTGGTTGCCGCTTACAGAAATTAATAACAAACTGCAGACGGGCTTGGAAAAGCAACACAAAGTCTTGGCGTACCCACATGGCCTGTGAGATAGATGGGTGCATTTACTCAGCGTGCTCCAAAGCCATGAAACACTTGTGCATAACAGTCCCAGATTTGAGGAGGAGGGCAAGGAGCAGCTTTACCAAAATAATAAAAAACAAAAGCCAAAACTAATCCTATCAGCTCCAGCTTTCCCCTATGATTTTGAGCGCTCCACTGTAAACCTTCTGCTCCCCCCAGGGAGCAAAAACCTTCTGCTCCCCTCTCCCCAGGGGCTGGATCCTTTTCCAAGTCAGGAGCCCAGCAGAGGTTCCGTGGCAGCAGCACCAGCTGAGCGCAAGGGAAACCTCCGGATTTCCCCAAGAGAAACCAAACCTGCCAAATTCTTCCGAAGTCCAGGTGCAGCCACACTGGAAGTCAGCAGAGAAGGTCATTTACAAACCACCTAGGTGTGACTTCTGCCCAAACAAGGTCGTTGAGGGTCACATTATGCAAGCTATATACCTTTACCTATGGAGAAATATGCGAGGATGCACGAGTAACAGCACAGCCTCAGGTAGGACACCAGCCAAACACAACGGTCATCACACTGAATGGTCAAACACTGGAAAAAAAAACAACATGGGACGATCAGCAGACTTACTCTGTGATTCAGAGGTTTTAAAAATCTAAAATATCCTTCTAGTAGCATATATTGACCCTCTAAGATGGCTATTAGAGGATGCACAGTTTGTGCCAGACGTACAGGCAGCAAAGTTCTAAATAATGGAGTACAAAATGATTTTGTGGCTTTGCTCAATGGTGATGAGAATAGCCTAGAAACAAATGGAAACCAGGATTTTCAGGTCTAATGGGCAGGGCAACATAAGTACAAACAATCTATCAGATTTAGATGGGCTCTCCAAGTGCTACTCTAAATCCTTCCATGAAGTCACTAGCTTTACAGGGCATCTGGGCAGCACAAGTGAGTCAGAAGTTAAAAAATATCTTTCTCCCCTGTCAGCAGCAGATCACAAATCTGAGGCAGTGTCTCAGGATGGTTATAGCCCTGCAAATCCAAGAGAGATATAGACAGCCAAATCAGTATCAATCACAGCCAATCTGTTATTCAATGCCATGTAAATGCTGAAACCAAGCTCGCCGAAGAGAAGCCATCAGACTAGCCACAGAGCCAACACAAAGGTCTGGAAACTGCGTCCAGCAACAACCCCCCAGCTCCTGTTCCTCCAGGAAAGGCATACAAAGCAGCAGGCATGCAGTGCTGCTTCCTCCAAATTGCAGTGGTGCTTCCTCTGAATTGCAGTGGTGCTTCCTCTGAATGCACTCCTGGCCTTCAGGGCCTTGTAGCTTAGAGACCTCTTGAGTCACAGAAGGGATTTTATTTTTTTTCTCTTTAACATTTTTCTAGGTTCTTTTTTCTTTTCATTTCTTTTGATTGCTTTCTGAACTCCTACAATATACTGCAATATATCTGCAATATACTGGGGCAAGGGATCACTGCAGCCTGACTACTGCCTGTGCTCAAAAGGGCCTTTCTAGTCATATGCTGCCTGCACATGCTGGGGACCACAGTAGGGGCACTTGCCCACAACGTAAGAAAAGAAGTTCCCCATCACAGAAACTACTCACCATCCAAAGAACAATTAGATCTTATCTGCTTCACGTGACTTTCCTTTTGCAGAAGTGCCATCTTGGTGGAAGCTGCAAGGAGCAACGGCTGCACAAAATAGATAGTCATTAAGTAAATCGTTTCTGTCCCACTTTTCCTTTTCAGACTATTATTTAGTATTCTGGCTTTATGGGTATTTCACTTCAAGCAGAGATGGACAGAGACAAGAGTGTACAGGAATAGCTTAATCCTTACAGAATATTGTTTGCTCTTCGTTTTGCCTTTCAAAGCCTCTTTGCAAAGAGGCTAAAAGATGCAAAAACATATTGCACAACCTTAAAAGCCATCTATCACTAAAAAAACTGTGATAATCCACAGCTAACATTACTGCATATAACCACGGTTCCTGCATATAAAGCTGTATGAAATTAACAGGTTTTGCTTGCAGGAAGTATCCTGAAGTCTCCCACCATTCATGTTCTAAATTAAAAAAAATTAACTGCTCCTTCTGCTTGTTGTAAAGGGGAAAGTTGGTTACTTCCCTACCCCTGCCATAATTTTTGACATTTGTACTAAATGCTACAAAAGCCAATAAATAAATAAATAAATTTCAAACAATTTCAGAAATAGAAACAGAGCCATCTCACAGTAATATATCTTTAATAAAACATTTATTACCACTGTACATCAGCAGCCTCTTTTGTCAATTCTGAAGATACACTGGAGATGGTGAGAGCTGAGGCTTAGCTATTGTGATATAAATCTGCCTCTCAATAGGATATTAAAACTGCAAGTGAGAGCTCAGCAAGAAGCTCTGATTATCTGAGGAACTAACACTACAATGTAGGCACTGCCTTG